AGGGCTCACTTCAGAAACTAATTTTTATCATTCTGATGTGCTTTTATTCTCCCGTGTGTTGGTGGCTGAGGTAGATGTGGTCTGCATGGATGAGAAGGCAAGTGTCAGTTTCTCCAGGAGCTGGATGTGTGGTCCTGGACTTGTGGACCCTCTTCCCAGTGAGGAAGCCCCTGCCCCCACTTTCTTCTCTCCCTTCTCCATCTGGTCCTCCCTCTGCCCTCCTTCCCCCTCCCTTTCCTCCCTTCCTTCCTTCTTTCTCTCCATCCCTTCCCATTCCCTCCCATCTCCTTTTCCTTTCTCCCTCTTTCTCTCACTTCCTCCTTCCCTCCCTCCCTATATTTACTAAGGGCTTAATCCTGAACCTGAAGAAACTACACAAGGATGAATATCTGCTTCCCTGTCAGGGATGCAGGTGTTTCTCTAAGGCATCACCTGACCCTGTGTTTTAACCCAGCCCTTCCCTGCTCCTTCAGTAGTATTGAAAAGTTAAAGCAAATGCACTCCTGAGAAGAATCTGGATTCCACCCCCAACTCAGTATTCGTAGACGTATCAGAGACGTCAAATTTGGACACCACGGGAATTGAAGAGGCACAGGGAAAACTGGGATTTGTTGGGTCGGAGCCCCATCCTGCAGGCTGAAGTGCCGTCCACCTCCAGCTCTGCAGGAGCCTGAATAAGTCTCAGGGAACCCGTCTCCCTGCGTTCTTGGCCACCATAGGAGAGCCTGTCTCATCACTTACTATGTCGAAGAAAAGTCTCCCTTTAAACAGGGAGTTGGAAGACTTGATAAAGTGCTGTTTCCACAGATACTGTACTACAGTCGTGCGTAATAAGAATCTATGAAAAGAGAACCAGGGCTGGCGTAAGAGCAAGCTCAGAGGAAAGGGTTTCCTCAATCGTTCTTATTTTTTAACAAGGTCTTATTTTAGCTTTGCGTGAGATTGACTACTAGCATTTTCTTAGTTTTGTAAACTCTGTCCCAGCTGAAGGATCTGTAGCTAGCTGTGGCCACTGCGGACTGAAGGGAGGTGGAAGGATACAGGTAAAGGTGGTGACGGGGGCCGTGACCGTCCGCCCCTGGTAAGTGCCCAGCTCGTCCAGATGAGAATGTCCACCTTTTGGGCTTCGCTCACAGTAGGAAGCGAAGGGAAACAGAGCCTCCAACAGGGACAGTTGGAGAAGACAACCAGTAGTAATAAAGTAAAAATAAACACCCTCCCATCACCCCGGTTGGCAGAGCCAAGGGACTCTGCAGAGCTTAGCACAGCTCCGTAGAGAACGTCAAATGCAAACTTTTATGCTCAACTTTGTCCACTTGCTCTTTGCAGGCAGCGGGCCCTCGTGCTGGAGTTCCAGGCAGCCCCCTGGCTGTGTCCTGTGGTGTTTTCTGTTGGGCTGCAGACCTACACTCCCACTCTAAGCCCGGGACGTCAGGGGCAGTGTGAGGATGAATTTCTGGAGCGTTTTCAGGTAAGCAGGTAGAAGGTGTTCTATAAATGTGCCAAGCTTGCTTGGTTTGCCTAATTTAGATTCTTAGGAGAGTCCATTAAGACTGGTTCGTACCCTGCTGTCATTAACATTTATATGGAATCTTGTTTTCTTTGTTTTTTACTATGGTTTTGTTTTCTTTTTTAGTAAGTGATCTTGCCTCACCAAAGGCAAAAGGCCTCACCTAGCTTATGTAAGAAATATAAATTAAGGTCCTGAATCACTCCACTAGTACTTGGGCAGAAAAGTTGAACTCTGCGTACTTCTTGATAACTGTGCTACTATAATTTTCTCCAAAACTGAGTAATCTGCCGTCAGACAAAATCTGCTAACAGCCTCACTCATTGTTACAAGATTAATGTCACTGCTTGCCGGAGATGCTTCCTTTCCTCTTCTAGACTCACAAAAGCACAGCCTTTGATAATTAATCCTGATAACACCAACACAGAAACCCAGATCCTTGACATATAACTCAGTGACTCGGCAGAAAGGAAAAACATCTCACTTGCACTTGATAAAGTTCCATAAAAATGTGTATTTTGCTAACTTTCATGGGAAATTTAACGATTTGGAGAAATTTTATATTTTCCCTGGCTGATTTTCATTTGTACTTAAATATTTGTTTAAAAGAAGATACAGAACCAAACCTAGGAGAGATTAAATTTTGCCCCAAGTGAAATTGCTAAATTCAGTGGATTTTAATTACCTTTGTCCCCATGGGCTTTCCCCACCCCCCTTCATTTCTTTTACCTTCCTCTTAGGTTACAAGGATTAATTTGCAAGCTGAGTCCCACACTATCCGTGAGACTAAGCAGAATGTACGACAGGCGAGGTGATGAGGTGCCCGCTTTGGACTGAGCAGCTGAGGCAGGTTTTTTTTCCAGCGTCAGCCTGTGTCAGTGCGATGGAGGGAGGGTCACCTGCGGTCACACCTCGGCTCTGCGGGGCCTGGGCAGCGGCTCGCTGTCTCTCCCGTCATTAGGATCCTTGTTTCTTGTAGAGACAGGCCGCAGGGCGTCTTGTGCCCTATTTTTCATTCCCAGTTTGTTCAGAAACCGTATTTTCTTAAGTCTGAAAACAGCAGCCGCCCATGGATACGTTTTTACAGGGCAGCAAGAACCTACCAGAATAGGCGTTTGTTTTTCCCCTTGAATGAATCCTGAGGCCCTGGAAGTCGCCCCCTGCCCACCACGGTCTCTCTATATACTCCACGCTGCTTTCTCCAACAGCTTGGCGCCGAGACTCTAAAGCTTAACGCTGAGCCAGTGTAAGCGGCGTTCTTATGGGAGCCGCCTTAATGGCGGCTTACGCGTGAAGTGGGAACGGCGTGCTGCCCACCCTCTAAACAATTTCTAGTGCTCAGCCTCCATGAAATGGACTGCTTATGGCAAGATAATGTCTGCTCTGTTCCTTTTTAAGTCTGTGAAAAATGTCATCCTGGTTGATAGGGTGATTAAAACTCTTTATGGTCCAGGAGATAAATGTGATTGTGTTTGCCATGCTCTACCCAAGATGAAGACAGAGAAGGAGGCAAACTTGAGATTCCATAACATTTCCCCTCTTCCATATCCAGGAACGTTCAGAACTCAGTACACAGATGGTACTTCACATAAAGAGTAACATTATCTGTTACACACTTTTCCTTTCCATTAACCAGTTTAACAATATGCCTCTGGTATAAAAGGAATAGACAAATGACATCTTCTGATATCTGAGTTCTGACTGTAGAAAAAAATCACTTTAGTCAGTCATATTGCTTGTTTTTCTTTTAACTTTCATCTTTGTTACTTCATTTTGGCTTTTAAAATGCAACTGGAGCCTATGCTTGGTACCGGTTCTAGGGAATCTGTCCCCATCAACCTTTCCTCAGCAGGTGATTCACCATCATTACTATGGGAGTCGTCGTGTCCGTCCCCCCACCCCTCTATCCCTTAAGGACAACAGACGCATATGGGAAGGGTTTTGTAAACCTTAGGCATGTCACACAAACATGCACTCAAACATTCCTTCCTTTAGGCTTCCAGGTGGGTGGTGGCACACCCACCACCCACCTAGACTCAGACTCATAATAGGGACAAAAACCTGTTCAGTTTTCCTCCCGATTTCCTTCCTTCATTGCATTCAAAGACTAGAGCTATTTTATTAGCAGAGATTTAGTTAAAAATGAAAGGTGGGTGAAGTTATTTTGCTACTCCACATACCCTGAGATAAATTTCACAATCCTTTTCTTTTAGTCTTGGATTTTAAACAGGTTACATAGGAATCCCAGGTGCTGATTACACCTGTTTAATTAACAATACAGCAATTTTAACAGGGTAACACAGTCCAGAGAAAAATGTTACATTAGGCAGTTGACATTTCATTTAAAATTTTTTCTTAAAACTAAAAGGTTTCATTTTAACAGATAAAGTTCAAATGTACTTTTTTAAACTGATTGATTGTTAATTAGAGCCTAAGCAATTATAAAGAAAATACACAATGATATTCAACCAGAGGTTAATTTTCTGGTCATACTGACACGTTAAAATACTTTTCTTAAAATTTTAATTTACCTGAGACTCAGTTCTCAGGTATCTTTTTGGTTAAAAATATTTGTTAAGATAGGTGATAATTGGACTATTTTTATATTGACAACTGAAATAAAGCTATAAACTGTCAGTCAGTGTTTCGGGACCCAGAACCAACTTGTCAAGAAAGTACATTTTATACCCATAATATCGTTATTTTCACATGATTATCCTTTCAAGTTATCATAATCTGTTACTGGCTTCTTGTCTAAGAATTTACAGGGCCTAAGGTGAGGCTGTCAGGTAAATGACTGGCATATACAAATCAAAGACTGTGTTCAGGACAAGAGAGCCACACCCACTGCCTGATGGACAGGATTCACCCATTAACCCGTCACTTTGGAGTCTGCCTAACAGGAGCAAGTCCTCCGAGTTCTGACAGCCACATACGGACAAGAAAGGCTGCTAAAACTTATTTAATTAGACTTAGAGGTACTACTGCTGTTAGGAGTCTGTTTATAAAGATTTTCCATCATACGTTATAATTTTGTTTTTCAGGTAAAAAACTTGGTTTCAACTGTTACAGTCATAGAAGTATTTCCCCTGGGATTTCCTCCACATAGAGAAGGTACCCATATAATTATTTTTAAATAGTCTTCCTAACTTTAGGAAAACTTTGCCCTCCCTCCAACACCCCCCACCCCCATATGAACATAACCAAATCAGTTGTAATAAAGTACAGCACACAGAAATGACTGTCGGCCTCCTACGGGGACACTGAATGCCATCCATCCCACAGGGTCACTCAACAATCTGCATGTGTTCCTTAGGAGAAATCCGTCGAGTCCCTTTGCTGTTGTGACATCTCCAAAGCCAGCTTTTCCTGTAACAATCGTTCTGGACTTCACCCACCATGCTCATCTCATTTGGATTTCAATGCTTCCTCCCATTCAACAGCCGATGCAGAGTTCTTGGGAATTGCTGGAAATATTGATTGCATTTTACTTCGAAAGTCTTTTATCTGAAAGATGAAAAAAAATCAGTCATCAGATGTTAAAAGATGGGGAAAAGAGCCAAAGCAATGAGAGACGTACCCCGTTGCTGACCGACTGATACATCATTGCTGTGGATACCGGGCGAAGGAAGACCAACAAAAGGTAAAGACTGTTCTCGCTGCCTTGAAAGACAATGAGACGTACCTCTTGTCTTTTTCCAAGTATAAGTCTACTGGGCCTTAAATAACATAAGACTCCACTGTAAATCTGGAAGGCAACATGCTCTAAATCGTCAGCCCTCATGACATTTATTTCCTACCAGGAGAATGGTATGTGTTGTTGGCCTTCATATATAAAGATGCAGCTGAGAATGGGATTTCTATCTAAATAAACATACTGAAGCCATTCAGACTTAAAGAATTTGGGGGCCAGAGGGAAGGAGTGGGGAGAAGTAACTTAGTAGGGGGTAAATAAAGAAGGAATCAATGGCAGATAGAGTAGAATGTTTTTATCAGCAGAGGGTGGTTTGGAATCCGAGAGTCAGAGCAGGAGGTTGGAAGATCCTGACATGCAGTGTCAGCTCCACCTAAGTGCGCACCGCCCTGAGCGAGGGGAACACTAAGTTATGGGAGGTGGATAATCTTTACCTTAGATAATACTAGATCCACACTCTTGATTCATTCTTTTCACTGAGATGGTCCTGTTCTGAAGGTAGTATTTCAGAAGCGCTACAGCACAGCACTGCAGCGTTCTCATCAGCCACATCCCAGCCATTATTTCCCAAGGACACAGATCTCCTCAGTCAGATTGTGAAGCACCCTGAACTCACAGCAAAACGTGAGTCATTCTTGGAGTGATGTTTGAGAGTCGGCTAGTATTTTTTCTTTTTTATCTTGATGCTTACTTATTTCAACTTGAAGCTGAATCCTTGTAGTGTTTCCAAATTCAGGTGGTGCATCCTGTTGGGACTTGTAAATTCCTAGTCATTTGTTCCAGTCATTGTAGCACCATTTTAGCACAGACCCTGGTATCAGGTACACCCCTCTGTTCAAAGCCCAACTCCACTGCTTGGGAAATCTGCTTATTCTAAGGGGTAGTTTCCATGTGTGCAGAAGGGAGATAATTACCTGCTTACAGAGCTGTGAAGATTAAGTGAGATAATGTACATAAAGCACAGCACCTGGCAGTACTCAACATATATTAGCTCGTGTCACTACAGCATCATCAAAATGTTCTGTGTTCCAAGAACAAAGCTCATATGGATAGAAGTATTGTGGTATGTTTGTCAAAAGCATTAATTTATAGTTATATCATTTTGGTTTAAATATTCTGATACTGGAAGACATAGAAGGTTATCCATCATATGTAGTCTGGAGGAGGTCCATGCCCACCATCTATTTGTTTGGGTCTCAGACACCAGTCTTGAAGACACACACACACACACACACACACACCCATGACACGTGTGTCTCTCCCTAACTCCCTCTTCCATGCAGCTCTCTAGTTTGTAGTGTGATGAAAGGTTTTCAGCTACACGCAGTACCGTATCCCTGCCTGGAAATGTAGCTCTGAATAGCGGTTCTCGAGTGGAGACTCCTGATAGCTTGGCTGTCACAATCGCAGGGGATTACTGTTTGCATAGGGGGGTGTGGGGACGTGGGGTGGTGCTAAATGTCTAGGGCGGCCAACAAAAAGAACTGCTTTGTCCAAAATCCCAAGAGTGCCCCCCTGGAAGAATCTTGCATGGGCTTTCTCAGTTGAAAGACCTCTCTGGCCAGGATCTGCAACGAGCTGCTTGGTTCCTTCCCTTCACCTTTCTGGTTGAACACCTGTTACAACTGAGCCTAACGACAGAGTTTTCCAGTGGGGTATCAGACAGCCAGGGCATGAACAGAATCGTTTACCATCGCACCTTCTCAGGAATCTGGAACAAGGTCCGTCGCTGAGAAGGCAGAGGCTGGGACACTCCGATGAGGCCTGGGTGGGAGAGTGCCGAGTGGCTGCTCCACTGCAGCACGGGGGCTGGTGTTCCCAGTTCCTCCTCTTGGCCCCATTTTTTTTCTTTCCTCTAATTTCCTAAGTATTATTTACTTGTTTCCCAGGGTCATAAGTGAGTAACTGAACCACTAGAAGGAATCATATCTGAAAAATAGCCAACTAGGACAAGACAGGCTTCAGAGCAAGGGGAAGGAAGGGAGACAAGTGGGAAAAAGAACGCCATTTAGTCCTCTTTAACTTTTCAGCTGTGGAGGAGTTCAGTCAACATGGCAGAGAAGAAGGACCTTGAGCTCACCTCCCCTCACAAGCACACCAAAACCACAACTAAGTGCAAAACCACCATGGACGAAAAGATCAGAACCTACCAGAAAAGATCTTCTACAACAAAAGACGTAAAGGAGGAACCAGAAGGAGACGGGTAGGAATGGTGGCCTGGTAATACAGTTAAGTCCCACATCCCCAAGTGGGTGACCCACAGACTAGAGAATAATTACATTGCATAGGTTCTCCCACAGAAGTGAGAGTTCTGAGGCCCATGTCGGGCTCCCTAGCCTGGGGGGTCCTGCACTGGGAAGACGAGCCCCCAGAGAATTTGGCTTTAAATGTTAGTGGGGCTTAATTTCAGGAGTCCCAGAGGACTAGGGAAATAGAGACTTCACTCTTAAAGGGCACACACAACATCGCGCATGTTCTGGGATCCAGGACAAAGGCAGTAATTTGGTAGGAGCCTGGGCCAGACCTACCTGCCGGTCTTGCAGAGTCTCCTGGAGAGGCAGGAGGCAACTGCAGCTCACCACTTGGACACTGGTGCTGGTGGGTGCCATTGTGGAGTCCTCCCTCTAGCTCATTAGTGCCAAGACCTGACCCAGTGCTGGGATGCCTCAGGCCAAGCAACTAACTGGGTTGAGGACACAGCCCCACCCAGCAGCAGACAGCTGCCTTAAGACCTCGTGAGCCCAGCTGCCTTTAGACATGGCCCTGTCCACCGCAGGGTCCAAGACCCAGCCCCACCTACCAGTGGGAAGGCACCAGCTCCAGAATCTCCTGGGCCTGCCCCAGCCCTCCAGGAAGCCTACTCTAGCCTCTGGACCAGCCTCCCCACCAGCAGGCCAACACAAGCTTTGGGACACCCTGGACCCTGTACCCAACTGTGTCAGGAACAACCCCCACCCAACCAGCCATCTGACACCAGCTCTAAGACCCTTGGGCCCTGTCACCAGCCTCCAGGACCAGGCTCTGCCTGCCAGGAGTCTAGCACTAATGCCAGGACCTGGCTTAATCCACCAGGGGGCAGACAACAGCCCCAGAATCTTCTGTACCCTGACGCCACACACCAGTGAGCCAGCACTAGCCCCAGGGCCCCCTGAGGTTCTGCAGTCAGCTGCCTCGTGACCCGGCCCTGTCAACCGGCAGTCGGCAGCTTCCGCACAAGGCAGGGTCTGGCACCCAACTGGACTGGGGGCCAACCAAACCTACCAGACCACCCACACAGTCAGCCTGTCACAAGAGAAGGACCAACCATAGGGGGAACTCCTAGAGCATACGGCTTGGGTGATAAGAGGGAATTGTGTTGCTGGGACACAGGGTGTCTCCTACAGAAGGCCACTTCTCCAAGGTCTGGAAACGTAACTAACCTACCATATACATTAAAACAACAAAACAAAACAAAAAACAGGCAAAATGAGGTGACAGAGGAACATGCTCCAGACAAAGGAACAAGGTAAAACCCCAGAAGAATGGAGACAGGCAATCTACCCAAGAAAGTGTTCAGGGTAGTGATCGTGAAGGTGAACAAAGAACTCGGGAGAAGAACGGATGCACAGAGCAAGAAGTCAGAAGTTTTTAACAAAGAGTTAGAAAATAAAGAACAACCAGAGATGAAGACTACAATAACTGAAATGAAAAATATACTAGAAGGAATCAACAGTTGACTGAATGATATAGAGGAACAGATCAGTGAGCTGGAAGACAGAAAAGACATAGTGGAAATGACTGATGCTGAACACAAAAAGAATGAAAAGAAATGAAGGCAGTTTAACGTCTCTGACCAGAGACGTTATCAGTATGTTTTTAGAGAGTGATACAATTAACATCACTGTGTGAAGCTGTTAGAGCTTAAAATTGATCAAGGGTTCATTATACAACTTATGATTGTTATCATTTACATTTTGCTCCGTTAGGTTTTCGTGCCAACCTGTGTATATTACAAACGTAAAATTTTCAAAAATGATGCATCATGAAATTTTGAGTGAAGAAAAATTTTTTGGTGAATTTTATGCAGATACTTTGAGCAACATATGTCGACTGGTGTCTCAGCAGATGATAGCTCTTCAGAATACAGTTCTGATTCAGATGATGTGAATATAAGACCAAATAAAGACAAAAAATCTTAGTGATTGATTCTGATACAGAAAGTGAAAATAGAACTCACGGTGCTGGAGAATGCTCCTTTGCTACTACAAAAGAGTGGATTGAAGACAACATTTCATGAAAATTAGAAGACTTTACAGGTGTGTTAGGTTTAACTACTGAATGTAATAACCCGCAAAGTGTTAGTGAAATAATAACAATTACTTTTTGGCCAGCCAAAATAAAAATTGCTGGCCACAGGCATTAGTTTCTGCAAAAATCCCCTGGTCACACACTAATATTCACATTATAGGGGTCCCTGAAGGAAAAGAGAGAGAAAGGGGCTGAGAACATATTTGAAGACATAATAGCTGAGAACTTCCCTGAGCTGGGAAAGTAAACAGCCATAGACATCCAGAGAGTCCACTCATAAAGGATTAACCCAAAGAGAAACACACCAAGACACACAATTAAAATGGCAAAAATTAAAGGTAGAGAATATTAAAAACAGCAAGGGAAAAGCAACAAATAACATACAAGGGAACTCCCATAAGGCTATCAGCTGACTTTTCAGCAGAAACTCTGCAGGCCAGAAAAGAGTGACACCATATATTTAAAGTGATGAAAGGGAAAAACATACAACCAAGAATACTCTACCCAGCAAGACTCTTGTGTAGATTTGATGGATCAAAAGCTTTACAGACAAGCAAAAGCTAAGAGTTCAGCACCACCAAACCAGTTTTACAGGAAATGTTAAAGTAACTTTTCTAAGCAAAAAAGAAAATGCCATAACTAGAAACATGAAAATTACAAACTGGAAAGCTCAATGGTAAAAAGGCAAACACGCCGTAGAGATAGGAAGTCATCCACACACAAAGCTAGTAGGAAGGTTAAAAAACAATAGTAGTAAAATCATCTATATTCACAATAAGCAGTTAAGGGATACACAAAACAATTAGATGTAAAATATTATATCAAAAACAGTAATTGTGAGGGGAGGAGAGTAGAAATGCAGGGTTATTAAAATGCATTTGAAATTAAGAGATCAGCAACTTAGAACATATATATGTAATTCATATATATATAAAACTATATATATACATATATATATATAAAACTATGTATATATATATGTATCTCACTATATAAAAACCTCATGGTAACCAAAAACCAAATTATCTGTAATAGATATACACATACACAAAAAGGAATCCAAATATAACACTAAAGATGGTCTTTTTTCCCCCTTCTTTTGTTCTTTTGTGACTTGATGACTTACAAAAACAACTTCCAAATAATTGACAAAATGTCAAAAGTACATATCAATAATTACCTTAAATGTAAATGGAAGTGTTCCAATTAAAAAACAGAGTGCCTGAATGGATACAAAAACAAGACCCATATATGTGCTGCCTACACGAGATCTGAAGACACACAGACTGAAGGTTAGGGGATGAAAAAAGATATTCCATGCAAATAGAAATCAAAAGAAAACCAAGGTAGCAATACTTATATCAGACAAAATAGACTTTGAAATAAAGGCTGTTACAAGAAACAAGGGCACTGCATAATGATCAAGGGATCAGTCCAAGAAAAAGATATAACAATTGTAAATATATATGCACCCAACATAGGAGAACTTAAACACATAAAGCAAATATTAACAGACATAAAGGGAGAAACTGAGAGTAACACAATAATAGTAGGGGACTTTAACACCCCATTTACATCAATGGACAGATCATCTAGACAGAAAATCAATAAGGAAACACTAGCCTTAAATGATACATTAGACCAGATGAACTTAATTGATACACACAGAACATTCCATCCAAAAGCAGCAGAATACATATTCCTTTAAAGTGCACATGGATCGGGATAGATCACGTTTCCACAAAACAAGCCCTGGTAAATTTAAGAAAGTTGAAATGATGTCAATCATCTTTTCCGATATGAACACTATGATACTAGAAATCAACTACAAAAACTGCAGAAAACAAAAACACGTGGAGGCTAAACGATATACTACTAAACAACCAAACACTAAACAACCAATGGATCACTGAAGAAATCAAAAGTAAATTAAAAAATACCTAGACACAAATGAATACTAAAACACAATGATCCAAAACCTATGGGATGCAGCAAATGTAGTTCTAAGAGGGAAGTTTATAGTGATATAGCTTACCTTAGGAAACAAGAAAAATATCAAATAAATAACCTAACCTTACACCAAAAGGAACTAGAGAAAGAAGAACAAACAAAACCCAAAGTTAGTAGAAGGAAATAAATCATAAAGATCAGAGCAGAAATAAATGAAATAGAGCCAAAACAAAAATCAAACAAAAAACCCCAGGGAAAAAGCTGACAGTATTTCCTCTAAGATCAGGAACAAGACAAGGATGTCCACTCTCACCACTTTTATTCAACACAGTACTGGAAGTCCTAGCCACAGCAATCAGAGAGGAAAAAGAAATAAAAAGAATACAAATTGGAAAGGAAGAAGTAAAACTGTCACTGTTTGTAGATGACATGATACTATACATAAAATCCTACAGATGCCACCAGAAAACTACTAGAACTCATCAATGAATTTAGTAAAGTTGCAGGATACAAAATTAATATACAGAAATCTGTTGCATTTCTGTACACGAACAATGAACTATAAGAGAAATTGAGGAAACAATCCCATTTACCACTGCATCAAAAAGAATAAAATGCCAATGAATAAACCTACCTAAGAAGGTAGACCTGTACTTGGAAAACTATGGCAGTGAGGAAAGAAACCGAAGACAACACCAACAGATGGAAAGATATACCATGTTCATGGGTTGGAAGAGTTAATATTGTTAAAATGACCATACTACACAAGGCAATCTACAGACTCAATGCAATCCCTATCAAGATAGCCATGGCATTTTTTCACAGAACTTGAACAAATAACTTTAAAATTTGTATGGAAACACAAAGGATCCCAGATAGCCAAAGCAATCTTGAGAAAGAAGAACAGAGCTGGAGGAATCGCACTCCCTGTCTTCAGACTATACTACAAAGCTACAGTAATTAAAA